AGGCATGATGGTGGTGTGGAGGGTGTAGTCTCCTGTGATGTTGACTGTTGGGTCGTGCTGCAACTCAAGCACAGGGAGTGCTTGTGAGGTGGTGAGGAGGATTGATTCAAAGGAATCTATTCAAGGAGGACAATGCTCTGGGGCACTGGCAGTCAGGGTCTGGATCAAAGCTGTTGGGTGGGGATGGCCACTGGTTCAGAGGCTGGGTCCCAATCTAGTACAGTTACCACAAACTGCAAAAGGAAGGGATCAAAGCCAAAGGCTGATAGGGATTCTTTCAGGGAAAACTGGAGAAGTCACGCTATAGCCAGTAGAGGCAGTGGTGGGGGATCAAGGGGTGTTGTTGGTTGATGGGGCTGTGTTACTGGTTGACACTGTGTTGTCTCAAAGGCTGGTACTCAATCTGTTGTAGGGATGCAAATGCAACAGAGAGTCAAGCCAAGATGTGGAGGGGTACTCGATTCAGGTGAACTGTGGAAAGTCACTGGAGAGTCACTCAACAATCAGTTAGAGAGGTAATAGGGTCAGGCGGTGGTTGATATCTGAGCCACACCACGCTGCAGTTCTGTCTGGGGCTCAATCCTTTTGGAGTCAGACAAACTCAGTAGGAGAGTCAGGTGCAGGAGCAGAGAGGTGGCTGGTTCAATGGAGGTGTTGCACAATCTAGCAAACACGCTAGAGGGGCAGCTTTTTGTAGTTGTTCTTGTGGGGGTGAGGTCCTTGGGAGAGGAGCTGGATATCCCAGGTGGGGCTGTAAACCAACCAAGAAAGCAGCCGAGCCTGGAGATAGCAGAACTCAAGTCCTTACAGGAACTCTGTTGTTGTTTGTTGTTCCTCTGGGAGGAGGTAGATATCAATGGGGAGTGGTAACAGTAGCAGGAGGTATCAGTGCCAACAAGGACGTCGGGAGAAACCACTAGTGGCCAGTGAGAAAGTAAGAATACAGTGTAATTCTCTTCTCGGTGGTCACTGCAGGTATCTCGTGAAGTCCTTCTTGATAGGCTATCGTTCGAAAGAGGTTGATCGATTCACGGAGTAGCGAGTTCTTGGATTCGATCGATAATTCGATTCGATTCGCGATTCGGATGAGTCAGTTGCCTTAGGGGTAAGGTTAACCGGGAGCTGTTATTGTTGTTGTTCGGTCGTTCGAAAAAGGATCGGCCGACAATGGGATTTCTTGGGCCGTCGGCAGTGAGAGAACAGAAAGTAACAAATGGTATGTGTTTCTCTTCTATTCTGGACTGCAGAAGACCGGAGACTTCTTCTTGTGTTCAATTTCTTCCAACTTGGCCGTCGGTGGTCGAGAATAGAAAACCGCCCGATCTCGTAGGATTTCAATTGGGATGGCTTTCTAATCTGAACCAGAGAAGGCCGCTTTGATAGTCGCTTGATAGCAGAGGTGCAGGAGATAGGAGGTATCGATCCTGTCAACCGGAGGTTGAATGAGGGCTTGAATGAGAGATAAGAGAGGAAAAGGGATGTGTGTTTTCCGTGATGACGTTGAGTGGATTCCTATAGTAAAACAGTACTCTTCAATGAGATAACAGATAACAGGCTTCCTGAGGTCCTGTCGCTTCGTTTCAATGCTTCCAATGGGTCTAATAGGTGTGGTGATGGTATAGAAGTGACGTCGTATTGTTATCGTTGTTGCTATTAGTGTTTTTGGTTGACAGATCCAGCGGCAGGAGTCAGTAGTTGCTCCCGCTTGGAAAAGTAAGCAAGCAGAGTTCTCCCTCCCAGCTCTTGTGCACCTACCAGCTGAGTTCCTACTGAATTCATCGGATTAACATTGTCGCAGATTGCACGCACAAGAGTGGCTCTACAGGAGTGTGGACAAGCGAGTGAAGAAGAGGGTTCGAACGCGACGAAAACTGGCTGCCGACGACCCGGACGTGCCGAAAACTGGATTCGCGACCGATTCAAGTGGAAGCACTTGATCCATCTATCAATAAAGAGACTATCCACAAGATACACCAGCCAGTTCTCAGCTAATAGGCTCCGTACACGCGAACGCCGATCAGAAAAAGAGGAAGTCGCCAAGCCATCTGCCGATCGATCTGCCGACACCGATCGCTTCGAAAACTCGAATATCGCCCGATTGAGTCCAAACCAAGACAGTCACCTATCAACCAAAGGCCTCCTCTACAAGCTGGTAACCATTATCTCCTTGTTGACCCTGGTTCGAGCGGCCAATAGTGGAATAGACCGCCATTGTCGATCCGTACGGAAACTCTATCGATTTTCTCAGTCGTGCCTCCGGAAGGTACTCCGGTAAAGGGAACTGGTACTCACACGGCACTCACAGAACCAGTACCAGTACCTCAAGACTGAGTACTCGTTCGAAAGCAGGCCGGCACGTCGCGCGATCAACGCCCTCAACATTTTCCTCGGAATTCCCAACTCCGTGCTGTGTACGGATCGATCCACTGTTACGAGTTGGCTATAGCAGTAACTCGGAGCGCCACGAGACCACCTTTCGAAGTGTTTGGAAGGTTTCCAAGGTTACCAGTGTGTCAAGCAGCCTCTGTTTAGTCATTGACTAGCAGTGCAAGACCTCAAGTCTACATTTGGATATTTTGTGGCAGTTCTTGTTCAACACCTCTACACACCACACTCAGCCAGCACAACAGCGGTCACATGGGTACCAGTAAAGCAAGAGGAGGAAGGAGCAACAGCAGCAGCAGCCAACAGCAAGGCAGCGCAAGCAACAGCAACAGACACCACCACAGGATGTGGCAACACCGTTGGCAACAATACACCACCGGTGCCACCACCACCACCACCGGCAACACCACCAGGTAGCACTGAACCACCACATCCACTCCTGTCAAGTCACCAGTGGATCCACCCTCAGTCCACCGGCTACCTGTGGTTCCCCCACCATCTTACCACTCAGTGATCATCTGTTGCATCCTCCACACCTTGCCAAGCATGACCTATCGTGCAATTCATCAATGGTATACGACTCAGCTGTTTGGGCCCTCGGGCTCATCACGTGCCAGCGTAGAAAAAGGTCCTCCGGACCCAATAGGTTGTTAACCTAAATAAGTAATTAAACCCCTAGGGAGAACTCTGCTTGGAGGTCTCACTCCTCTGGCACTTGGGAATGGGCTAGCCACAAAGCTGGCTGCCACTGTTATTCAATCTCCACGCAACGATTGAACAACTTACTCCTTGCCTTGGCACAATCCACACAGGAAGGCTTCAACTGTGGGGAAACTAGTGCTACTGAGGCTGTATCTGGTCAACTATCCTTTCATTACTTCTTCTTCTTTTAAACTATAACATGAATACAAAATCCTCGACAGCACTCAGCCATGCAGCTTTGGCTCTCTTGCATCTCATTTGGCTGGTGCTGGCAAGCTAACTTTCTATATTGGTCTTGGCTGAAGAACTGCATCATCCTTGGGTATATAGAGTTCCTCAGCTATTTCTGTATTGCCAGATGGCTGCACTGCTGACCCTACTGTTGGAGTATACAGATGTCACAGCGATTCTTCCACGTGGCTAAACCAGCACAGCTGCTTCGCACCACAATGGGAGCTCACGTGGATTTCCACTCATCGCGTTGGGCTTGATGCCATCAGTCCAGATAACAAATGGACATACAAAAACACCCTCCCACCTTAAACCTTGCTTCCTAAGCTGCTCCCTGATCAAGCCTTTCAATGCCTTTTTGTCAACCGCCGCATATGTGTCAACCTGAAGGGAACAGAGCACCGACAGAAGTGCAATGTCCTTAGCTCGCTTTGTCTGGGTAAGGGATGTCACAGGTTTCTTTGGATCCACATCAGCTAGTATGTCATCCAGTGACATCGCAGATCCATATCAGCGCCCCGAGCTAGGGAATCCTTGAGACAGTCACACACAGACACATATGAATGGAATTCATTGAAAACGCACACTGTAGGGTGAGGGAGGCGACTCTTTATGGAGTTCACACCACTGAAGTACCGCTTGTTCATCTCAGCGTAACTCCTTGGCGGTTTGATCTGCCTGTAAGTCGCTGGCAACTCACTCAGCAACTGTCCCCGATGTGCTGCGCCTATTTCATACCAGGCCCGGTTGATTTTCGTAACCGCCTCTCTCTTACCACGCATCAAACCATTCAACGTGTACGCACTAAAAGTCCAGCTTGGCCTCTGCATCATCATTCTTGTCGTGCTCCCAGTCAAAATAACTAGCGAAATTGCTATTTGCCACCAAAAACAAAAGGCCCTTCTGTTTGGTTCTGCTTTGGAAGGAAAAGTACTCATCCCTTGGGTTATTCTTGTCAAAATAATGTTGAACCTCCCTCCCCTTTGAAGCCACCTTCGCAGCATCCATCGAGTTGTGAAGCAGTTTCATACTCTCAACATGTCCCGGGGTCTTGCAGTGCCTACCTATCGATTGTGAATGACTCAAGCACGCCACTTTCCTATTTTGTTGTACCTAGAGCAGACAGCACACACGAACCAGGACCTACCCATACAGGAGGGGGTCTCGCAATGCACCCACTGAATAGTCTGCAACAAGTATGCTGGGCATGTTTTTTTTGTGTGACAGCCTTCTTGCAGTCACGGCAAGAGAATTTTTTGTCCTCCACTACAACATTGGCAAGTGGCCTACCAAAATGGGTCGCCGCTTTAAACGACATGCTTGTATAGTATTCCTCCAATATGACAAAGAAAGGCTTAGCACTTTGCATGCACAGAGGTTGAACACACCGTCCCCGAAAAAGAAATAGAAGTAGACGTTTTCCCGCCATTCTTCCAGATGTGGTTTTCAGTTTCCCCGCCACAAATGCCAAAAATGTGGGCTGCCCAGCAAGAGCTCGCCACGCCAGCGCCAGTCAGTCTTAGGCTCCATATTCCCGAGGCACACTTGTGGCCTCTTTGGTTGGAAAAGAGGTTCAAACCAATGCCCCCCGCCTAAAAAACCAAGATGAGGGCCGATCCGTCCTGCTCGGTGCAAATTGCACCGGACCCAAACCATCCACAAAAAAGAGAGAGACTACCACCATGTCCAACAGTGCAATTGCTGTCCGCCATGACACAGAGAAGAAGAAGATGGGGATACTTAGCTGGGACGAGTATACCAAGGCCGTGTCCCTAGATCCTCACAAACTGAAACACCTTTCTAATCGGGACACTTTTCATCTCCCTAACTACACAGACCAGACAAAGAAGGATGGAGAATCAATAGCGTCAAAACTCGCAAGGGATTACTTCCAAATTCCCCCCAGCCTTATAAAAGATGATGTCATCGAGATACTGACCAAAGAGCTCGAAAAGATCAAGAAGAAGATCCGGGTATTCTCCAGGGTTAAACTCAGGTCTTTGTTATACAACCGGGCGAAGTCGCGTAAGATCAAGAAAGTCGGAGGTGGCAGTTTCGTGGACGACCTCGATGATGTCCGAAAGCTGATGGAAGACAGGAATATCACCGCGGACACCATCGTTAATATCCACCATGTCATGTACGACGAAATCACAAGAGATGAATTGGAATCCATCGCGGCGGATGTTGCCAGAACAATTGGGATTGAAGTGGTGCACGGGGATGGGCAAATCTTGCAATAGCCCTGTATTGTAATGGAGTGTGACTCGCCAAAATCAGTTAAAAAGACGAAATTCGTATTTTGCCGGAAGATACATTTAACTGGATTGCATTGGATTGGATTGGATTGAATTGGATTGAATTGGATTCCAAATAGTACTGATATTTATATAGTAAACTGTAATTCAATGCAATCCAATCTAATCCAATCTAATCCAATGCAATCCAATATAATCCAATAGAGAAAAACAGCCAAAGTAAAAGCTTGGCTTAGCGCAAACAATTTTTACAAAAACGCTCTAACAAATTCAACACAGAGCCATGGGCAAGTTTGCTCATCCCCCACGAAGGCAGAACAACAGATGGATCCTTTGTGCACAGGCTCGCGAGCGCAGACAAGCTGTGCTCGCCCAGAGCAGCTAGACACGACTAGTAGAGGATTAGGTGAGTGGAGAGACTCGGCCATTTACTGAGCCGACTGTCTCCAGTCCCCGGGGTACCATTTGGGACTGGGGAGTCCCGGATGGATCCTACACGGCAAAAGGGAGTCCCGGGAATGTGATGTTCCACGGGACAGCCTTGAGTCGTGCAACCAGGGAGGGAGAGGTGGGTTAATCTAATCTAGGTTCTTGCCTTCAGCGTCGGCTGAATGAAGAATTGTGAGCTGAGAGAGAGACAACCTTCTTGCGATCGGCAGTTCAATGGCTGCGTCTAAGAGGCCTGATATGACCTTTGGTCAAGATCAGGGGCAAACAGCAGTAGGTCAAAAAATGCTGGAGACTTGGTCTCATCTTACACAAGATCTTGAGGAAGGTCAAAATATGGACCTTCTGGTCCAGTTCTGTGGGGCCAGGGTAGGATATCAAGGAAAGAAGAGAGCTGGAATCATGGCCTATTGCTTATACTAGTAAGGTCAATATCTAATGAAATCGTGTGGTCTATCTGGTTGGTAATCGATGTTCTAGCTAGTTAATCTATCTTATGGTACCAAACCACCAAGTCGTCGTTTACTTAGCCAAATCCTCGAAACTGACTTGGTGCATACAGGAAAATGGGTACTCACACAGGAATCACCACCAAAGCACTAGGAAATAACACTGGAGGGATGAATCCAGTAGTAGGATCCACTCTCCTCTGTGCGTTTCGAGTTGTCGTGCGTGTAGCCTCCTCCTCTTGTTGCCTTTCAATGACTCCACGACGTTTGCATGCTGTTGGTAGGGCTGGAGTTAACAGAGTCTCCTCCTCCGTAGCGGTAGCCTCTCCTCTTGCTGTTATCCAGAGCGATCGATCTTGACAATGGTAATTCATCGGCCATCAACAGTACAGCACAGAAAACAACAAATAGACATGAGTTTTGCTTTCTGTGCTCAACTGCAGACGACCGGAGACTTACTCTTGGTTTTCAAATTGCACCAACTTGGCCGTCATGGGTTGAGAACTGACTGCCATCCCATGGTCCATAGGATTCAATGAGGTATGGCTTTCGAATCTACACCGGAGAAGGACGGCTTGAGTGAGGTTTGGATAACAGAGATAATAGAGGTGTGATCGACTCAAATAATTAAAACAAATCGACTCGAATAATTAAAACAACTCACCTGTTGACGGCCGAGCATGGACTTCTCTCCTGAATACCATAGAAATACAATGAGGGAAAGAAGTCAGTGCTGAGCCTTCAATAATACACCTGATAATAGACTTACCTTATCGTGAAAGTAGAGGTATCGTACCAGTAGCGATCGGCCTCTCCTCCACCATTTTCATGTTGTTGTCGCCGTTATTGTGATGTGGTGACAGGAAGTGCAGCCAAAGAATGGTGAGCGGGCCTGTTTCGGGAAATCTTTTTGAATTTTTTAGTGTGGAAAAGCAGTACTCTCCAACGCCACTTCCATGCACAGTGTTCCGGTACCAGTACCATACCTTTTCAGAACCAACAAGCCCTGAATCTTAGGTGCATCCAAAATCGTTGACTAAACAATAGAATTGATATCCACCTTTCTACTGGATCCTAGTGGTTGGTCATATGGGGCTTATTAGACGTGGTCTTGGCTAGGTCGCTGGCTTAAGTGATTCATGGTTGCCGCTGTCGATCTTGCCAAATGTGGTCTTGGACGGGCGTCATTGCCTTAAGGGTAATCTTGTTCAAGAGGCATTGAGGAGCTGATGCGGTGCATCATCATGTTGGGTGTTGGAGGAAATATACCTGACACCTCTTTACTATTGACTCGTGTATTAATCATCTAGTCCGGTTCGCATGCAAATTCATCATGCAAGGAACCAAGGGAGTTTTAGGTCTAAAGTGTTGCGGGGGTCCTTATATCCAATTCAATCACAAGAATTGCTATGCACCACCAGAAAATCCTCACTTTTGCTTTTCAGCTTAATCTAAAACCAAATTACTCCCCAATAAGCTGCAGTACAACACTGAAAAGCAAAAGGCCATCTCGAGTTACTACCGATCTCGAGACTGATATCAAGGTAACAAAGTCAAAGTGTATTGACTATCAAGTCAAAGTGTATTGAGTTAACTACTGCAACAGAGTAGAGGTGCGCAGAATCAGGCTCTAGCTACACTATAAAGGATACCAAACACCTTTAACAGAGGAAAAGAGACAATTCCGCGCGGTAAGCACGACTGATAATCCCATTGTCGATCCTCCTACAGTTTCCGGCCCGAACTACGGACATCCAAGGGTACCAGTGAATCAAGCACGTTGAACTGAACAAGTTCTCTATTGACCGCGAGGAAATCCGGCTCTTATTCAGTGAGTTGAAGCCGATTACGTCATCGCGCGGGATTTTCGATCGCAAATCACTCGAGCAATAGGCCATCAACGGCGTTCAAGCTACTGATCGAACCGTTCGAGATAGCTAAGGAGAACAATACAGAGGAAGTTGCGGAACACGACGACAGTGCTCTGGCCATCCTTGTCGAGCAGCCGCACGCCAAAGAAGACAAACGATCCCGATCCCTATCCATCCACGCTGACCGGCGTGAAAACCTGAACCCTCATGGGTTCTTCGAGGAATGACTCGACTCACAGTTGCCAGACTGGTACCATCTCACAAAATACGAATCTACTCCCACAGTAGTCTTCATCACCGTCAGTACGAACGCGATGAGGAGGGGTGACGAGTGACGGCAGCACACAGGTGGCTTGCGACGCCCGACTGTCAGTGTTAGCATTGCACCAACACGGTTGAGAAGAGCGTTGTAGTCAAACTCATGAACGTCCCAGTTGTTGCCGCGGTCGACGAGAGTAAGAATAAAGCGTTGGCCATGGTCGAGGATTTCGAAGAGATTTAGACCCTGATGCCACGCAAGAGGTTAATCTATTCTAGTTCTAGCTTGCAGCTCGGCTGAAGGAAGAATTGTGAGCAGAGAAGGAGACAACCTTCTTGCGATCGCTGTTCAATGGCTGAAGGAGAGAGTTGGACCGGTCTTGCGTGTTGTGTTCATTCAAGGTTTATCTGTGAGCGGTCTTCGTGGGGTGCTATTGCCTTAGAGTGGATCTTGCGAAAAGCAGTGGCAATCGACATGTTATGTGGGGTATCCATTTCGAAACGCAGGTGATGACCTGTGAGATGTAGAGATGTACTTGTTGTTGTGTGAGCGAAG